GAAGATCATCATCGCACATTAAGTATTGTCACCTATATCTAAATTCCTAGTGGATGATTCAAATGGATCTAGGCTATGTGGTATTCGATGCCTATCGTCCACAGATTGATCATTTTATTTGTTGCGACAGTACTTAAATGGTCGTCTCGGTATTAAGAGCTAAGAGAACGATGCAATACGCGTGACACCTGTTTTTGGTGAGTAAGCGCTTATTGCGGAGAAGGTGCTGAATAACACTGAACACCCGCTATACTCTCAGCTCGTTCAGTACAGGCCGATGTTGACTATTACTCAGTCGACTTTCTATGAACTATCGGTCAGAATCGAGGTCTATGGAATCACCTAGACTCTTAATTGTTCTACAAATTGTTCATATTAGTTTATACCTAAATGAACATCTACACATTGGTTGACGACGTTCCATTTTACCTTTGTGTTACTGTGCTCGTTGTATCTGATTCCGTTTGTTTTCTTTCCACTTTGGTTTTGTCTGATTGAAAATCTGTGTATGTCATGCTGAAAACCACTATTGTTTGTCAGCGTATTGCAGCTTATGATAATCTTAAATCTGAATTGACAGACTTCGGCATCCGAGCTTATGTGTTTGAAAGCGAGCTGCATAAAAAAATCGCATAGCTGATTCAGATTTACGGAAATCATATTTCTTTCATAAAGCTGGGCGTAAACTCCAAATTCTCCTTCGGTACTGGGGATTTAACACTTTGCTTTACCTTGTGCTGAGATATGAAATTTAATTTCCACTTTGTACCTGTCTTAGCCTCAAAATGCACGAGGAGTGGTATTTATTAACACTGCGACTCCCCATCACATGTTTCATGTTGTAAAGAGAGGAAAGTGCCTAAAGAGGTGACCACGTTTCTGGCCAGGCATAACCATTGGCTCTTAAGAAATCGATACTTCTTACCATTTTAATTTCTGGCTTCTTTGTATTTGCATCTTGGGCGCTTGTGACAACCTTGTTTAATGGAGTTTGATGCCATAATCTTCGTTGTGTTTTAAGTGCTAAGCAGATTTATAGTGACATCTCTAGCTACATGGCAAATGCAAAATGTGTGTGTTGATACAGCGTTTGACATCAATATGTAAAAGCGTCGATTCATATGTACTTGTACAGTATTTTATTTACAGTTCGTTACCAGCAGCTCAAAGCCTCCAGTTTTGGGTTTCAGCAGGTTGGAGCCTCCGTTTTCAATTCGATGCGTGGAAGTTAGCGACGACCAGGTAGTTATTTTTAAGGTGTTTTTTTATCACGGTAGTTTTTACTTTCATCTTTTGAATATCCTTCAGAATAATCATTGTGGAAATGGCTGAACTTGATTTTTGCTCTATTGTGTGTACTTTCTTCTATGCGTCAGTGAAGACTTAAAGCAGGCTGCGGGAAAGTGCCGGAGAGGAGCTAGAATCACGGCGTCATCTAGCCTTCGTCAAAATTCGAAAAAATATAGATATCAACAGGAATAGTTTAGCACTAAGCCATACATTCCAGGGATCCAGTGGTGGCTCAGCAGAAGAGCTTAGAAGCGAACCCCCACTCCTCCTGTTTCACTGTTGAATGTGTGAGACCCAATTCTTACAGAGCTGAGATTGACTGAACATATGCACCAATCTCTTTGTTCCGCTGCATGTATATTTAATGATAGCTCGATAGACCCATTTCCCTTCTTCAGAATACTGTCCCTTAGTACTGTCTTTAAAACAAATTCAACCCTGAAAGTGGGTAAAATTTTACACTCTCTTGGTACTTCACGCTACTTCCTATTCAGTTGTAACTGCGGTTGTTG